GCGGCCAGCAGGGCGAGGGTGTCGCAGAGCGCGGCCGCGGGCAGGGCCATGTAGCAGCTTGCGGTGTCGTCGAGGCAGGCGTCCCGCAGCGGTGCCGACGGCGCGCGGCCGAGGCGCAGCAGCGCGCCGCACGCCGACACGAGCTCCGTGCCGGCGAGCGCACCTGTGACCGCCGCCTCAGACAGCGCCGCGTCGGCCCGCGCAAGCCACCCCGCGCCTCCCCCCGCCGCCGCCGCCGCAGCGCGGCCTTTGCCAGACTCCTCATGCAGAGAAGCGGCCGCCTGCAGCAAGTCGGCCAGCTGCGCGGCGCCGAGCTCCTCAACGTGCGCGTCCGCCCAGCCCGGCAGGCGCGCCGTCCACAGGCCCGCCGCCTCGCGGCCCGCCGCAGCCCACCGCTCCCTGCTGCTGCTGCTGCCACCCTCTGCGCAGCCCGCTGCCGCCGCGGGCGGCGGCACGCCGTCGCCGTCCTCCACGACAGCCGCCAGCCGCGCCGCGCCGCCGCTCAGCCACAGCACGCGCCCCGAAACCTCCAGGAACGCAGCCGGCCCCAGCGCCGCGGCGCGCCGGGCCAGCACAGCAGCCGCCGGCGCCGCGGCCGCCAGCGCCCGCTGGCCGTCCAGCGCCCCGAGCGCCCCCAGCAGCCGGCACAGCCGCAGGGCGGACGCCTCAGCCTCCGCCGCCGCCTGTGCAGCCCCCGCCTCCGCCGCGGCCGCGGCGCCGCCGGCCAGGGCGCCGTCTGACCGCCCCTCCTGATCTGCCAGCGCGGCCAGCGCCTCCGGCAGCCAAGCGAGCGCCGCGTCCGCGTCTTTTTCCGCAGCCGCCTCCAGCAGCAGCAGCACGTCCCCCAGATCCCACCGCCCCGCGCCGCCGCCGCGCGACACGCTCGCCCGCGCGTGCGCCCTCAGCACTGCGAGGAGGCCGCCCCCGCCGCGGCCCCCGCTGCTAGCGCCAGGTGCCTTGGCGGCAGCTGCGCGCGGCGCCGGCGGCGGGTGGGGCAGGCGCCAGATCAGCTCAGACAGCTGGTCTGCTGTGAGCCCCGCTGACAGCTCGCCAGACTGTAGCCACCGCCAGGCGCCGTCCTGCACGGCCGCCGCGCGCGCCGCGGGCAGCTGCCCGGCGACGGCGGCGAGGAGCGCCGACAGCTTCGCCGGCAGCAGGCGTGGCAGGGCAGCCGCCAGGGCGGCGTGCAGGGCGCTGCTGCCGTCGCGACCGCCGCCGCCGCCCTCCTGTGCACCCCCAGCCGCGTCGTCAACGCTCGACGCCAACAGCGACAGCAGCTGCGCGGCTGCGCCCGCGGCGGACGCGTTGCGCCCTAGCGCGGCCGCCGCGGCGGAAGCAGCGGCCGCCGCCCACGCGGGCGTCGGCTGCGCGCCGAGGGCCTCCAGCCTCGCAAAAACAGCCCCGAGCTGCTCAGCTGACAAGCCGCCGAGGTGGGGCGCGGCCGCGCCGGCCCAGTCGTCCAGCCAACGCGCCGGCAGCTGCAGCGGCGGCGAGAGCCGAACGAGATCAGCGCCGGCTTGCAGCGCGAGCAGCAGCACGCCGGGGGCGGCGCCGGCGAGGCGGCCCTCCATCAGGCGCGCCAGGCGCAGCGCCAGGGACTGCACGACAAAGGGTAGGGCCCGGCAAGGGGCGGACAGTTCTTGTTGTGGTCAGACAGATGGCCTGGGTTGCGAGAGCCATCTGTCTTGACAAGGGCATGACAAGGCACCCACCTGTGCTGCTTGGTGTGAGGAAGCATGCACAACACACGAGGGCCGGCCGGCGGCAGGCACATGCACCAGCCCATGCACAGCGAACAAGGGCGTGGGAGCCCCCACCTGCGCGGCCTCGGTCTGCCCAAATGGCGCGGCGTCCAGCACCACTGGCAGCCGCAGCCACAGCGCCACCAGGTGCGCCGTCGCCACCGCCGCGCCGCCCCCCGCAAGCGCTTGCTCAAGCAGCACCTCCAGGCTCTCAAGGTCGGGAGCCGCGAGGATGCTGGCGAGAAGCTGCTCGGGCCCCTGGGGCGAGGCGGCCGCAGCGGGCGCCGGCGCCGTGGCCTCTGAGGCTGCTGCGTGCGAGATGACCGCCTGATGTGCCGCTGAAGGGGGCTGGATGGGCACGTCCGCTGCCACGGCAGGAGCACAGGCTGGCCCACGACTCGCACTCTTGTTCAACGCCGCGGCCTGCCTACTTGCGGGCTGGGACAAGGGCCCCGCTTCAGGCAGCACTCTGCCTGCGCTGCGACGTTTGCTGGCAGCCTTACCGGGGGTCTTGGCTGCCGAGGCTCTCGCGCCATCTGCCACGCGAGCGCCGCTGACAACGCCCTCAGGCTCTCTAGGGCTGCTGAGGTTGATGTCGCTGCTGTTGGTCGGAACACTGTCACCACTGCCACCACCGCTGCCGCCACCGCTTCGGGTGCCACTGATTTGCTTGACGTTTGAGTCACCAACCGCATTGCCGTTTTGGCCTCTGCTACTACCTCTGCTTCTTCTTCTGCTGCTGTTGCTGCTGCTGCTGCTGCCGATGGGCGCGTTGCCACTGGCGCTGTGCTCCAGCTGCTGCTGCTGCTCCTGCTGTTGCTGCTCCTGCTCCTCCTGCTGCTGCTGCTGCTCCTGCTGCTGCTGCTGCTGCTGCTGCTGCTGCTGCTGCTGCTTCTCCTGGTTTGACCAGCGGTCCAAAATGGACCGCAGCTGTGCAGCTCCCACCCTCGCAGCCTTGGAGCCCAGCGGCAGCGCGACACTGCTGCGCCCCACCTCCTGCACACGGAGCATGCTCACGCCCCGCAGCTCTGCAGCGGTGGAGCGGCTGCTGCTCCCGTCAATGTCTGCCTCTGAATGGGCAACAGCCGACAGCTCCAGTGTGAACTCGCGGTCCCCATCCACCACGCGCCGCGTTTCCACGGGCCTGCAAAACACCGGAGGGCAGTCGGGGCAGATGCATGGCGCCCGGAACCAACCGTGGCCTTGCGCCATCAAACCGTATGCTGCATGCGTGAAATGCTACAAGCTGTGCAAAAGGCTGCCCACATGCAGATACGTGCCTCGCGCACTGCGCGGCGCGCAGTGTGCGGCCGGCCCAGGACGCGCACCTGTCATCGTTGGGTGCGGCCGCCCCGCGCTTGCGGTGCGCGGCTTGCAGCAGGTCGCGCAGAGCCGCGGCCGCGGCATCCGGCAGGACCACGACGTATTCATAGCCCTCGTGTGTCTCCTCCCGCAGCCGCACCTGGCCTTTTGGGGTGCGGCTGCAGCTGAACGTCGAGCCGCCGGCCTGGGCGGTGCGGGAGTGTCGGCGGCGGCATGAGCAGGTGCATGACGACGGTATGGGCAGCTGCGTGCGCTCGCATGGAGTCTTCACATATTCCAGCCCTCAGAGCAGGAAGCGCAGGGGGTTACGCCTACTTTGAATGTCACTGAACGAGGCGTGGCGGCGGCACCATGGGGGCCGTCGCCGCGGTTGCCGACGAAAGCGACAATGCTCGTGCCATCACGAGTCGCTGCCGCTGTTGTCCGGTATGTAGAGCGTTTGCGCCACAGCGCGGCCTTGGCTCGGCCTGCCCCTGCCACAACGAGTCCATTGAAGTTGCCGGCAGTGGTGATCACGGGCACCGTGAGGGCCCGGCCGCAACGACCGCGCGCGAGCCGAGAAAAGGATATCATAGTATATAAGCAGAAGGCTCGAAGTATGGCGCCGACTAGATCATGTTGTGTACTGTAGATCAAACGCGCGGTAATTTGTCCCGGTTATCGCCATTAGTGTAAATCGTGTTGTTTGCAGCTATACGATGAGGTAATCGCGTTGATGAGCCTCCTCATGCAGCGGGTGACAGCAGCTTGGCTGCTGCTGCTCTCCACACCCATATCACGCCTGCATGCCGACGAGGAGGCCACAAACGAATGAACGATACGGTATGACACTAGAAGTAATCGCACGTGCCCAGAGGCGCTTCGCATTGCTTGCACTGGCCAGCAGCGAACCTTACCAGAGGCTGGCGCGGGATCGCGGGGCCCTCTAGCGTAGGGTGGGGGGCCTACGGCCCCCCCACAGGACGCAGGCAGGATGTTCACTACCAACGACGCCGAATCCGCGATCCAGATCGTGTTTTCAGGCGGCTTGGCCGACGGCGAGCTGCGGGTGCGCTGGGAGAGCAACTAGGTGGTGCAACTTAGCCCCTGCATGCCGTGTGGGTGCTTACAAGCCCTTCAGTGGCCGTGGCTGCAAAGGGATGGCTACGGCGGGTAGGGGGGGGGGAGGAGATGGGCCGGCAGCACGGCGGCCGAGTATGCCATCAACCCCCACCCTGCCCCCCCGCAGGAGCGTGCCACTGCCTACCTCAATTCCCTCAAGGCGTCCCAAGAAGGATGGAAGTTCTGCGTGGAGCGGTTCTCCCCAACTGCCTTCCCAGAGGTCAAGTTCTGGTGCCTGCAGACGCTGCACGAGGTATGGCGGCCGCATCCCGCGCGCGCGCCAGCCGCGAGCCACGCCGCCATCCGCGCCGCGGCTCGGCTGCTGGATGGTACGTGAGCGCGCTGACGCGACGCCGCCCGCTCCTGCCGCAGGTGGTCAGGGCCTACTACCTGCAGATGGACGCCCAGTCGCAGTCGACGGTGCGCGCGCGCGCGCGCTCGTGCGCTGCCGCAACTTTTGTGTGTTGCTGCCACCCTTTCATCATGCCTACAGCTATCGCTTTCCGAGCGTCATGCACGTAGCAGCGAGCAGCATGGAGCTGTTCTTTGCTGCCGGTTGATCATGGCACGCCGTTGATTGCTGCGCCCGTATTCGCAGATCAAGGGCGCGCTGCTGACCTGGCTGCAGCGGGACTGCACCGTTGAGTCCGCAGGGGCGCTGCCGCCCTTCCTCCGCAACAAGCTGGCGCAGGTGCGCATTAGGGGCGCATGTGTGCGATGTTGTTGGGTCCGGGGCGTGGCCTTGAGGAAGGCGGCTGGCAGCTGCTGGCCGCAGTTGCAAGGGTCCGCCCAACTCGCAGCCTTAAGTGTGGGCAGCTGCGGCTTCCAGCCGCAGCGAAATTTACTGGTATGCGGCCAAGCCAATCGCAACATATGGGATAAGGTTGAACATGGCACCAGAAGCGCCCCGTCAGCGGCAGGAGCAGCTGGCGGCCTCTCTGCTACCAGCACCAGCACCAGCAACGTGCAGGCAGGGCTGCTGCGTCCCCCCCAACCCCCGACCCCAACACGCCCCCCACCCAAAACCCCGACGTGGACCTGCCTCCTGACCTGTCGTGTACCCCCACCTCCCTTAAAACCCCGGCTCGCCCCCGCAGGTGCTGGTTTCCATCGTGCAGCTGGAGTATCCCGCGGTGTGGCCGACGTTCTTCCGGGACCTCATTTCGGCAGCCCACCAGGGCCCAGGGCTGGCGGACATGCTGTGCCGCGTGATGGTGGCAGTAGACGAGGACATCATCAGCCTCGACATACCAAGGCGCGTCCGCCGGGGGCACAAGGGAGGGGGCGTGTTGCGCAGAAGGGCGTCCGGGGGGCCAGGGGCCGCGGGTGGCGGCGGCGGGCGACGCGGCGGCTGTTGGGCGCGAGGGCCGCAGCAGGGGCCGCGCCCGAGCAGAGGATATGTTCGCTGGTTTCCCAGCTGCCCAGCCCCCCTCCGTCCTACCTCCCCCCCTCCCCACACTCACACACACACACACACTCACATACACACACACACACACACACACACACACACACGTACACGTACACGGATTCACCACCCCACCGCACAGGTCCCAGGAGGAGGCTAAGCTGTCCATGCACGTGAAAGACTCCATGCGCGACCGCTGCATCGGCGACGTGGCGGAGGCGTGGTACCAGCTCGCCCTCGCGCACCGCGCCGCGCGGCCGCAGCTGGCGGCGTTCGTGCTGGCAACGGCGGCGCGGTACATCCATTGGATCGACATCGGGCTGGTGGCCAACGACAGGTGGGCGGCCTGCTGAGCTGGCGGGGCGGCGGCGCGCGCGGCCAGCTGGGTTTCTCCTTGCTGCCGGCTTGCCGGCTGGCCTGCTGGCTCTCCCTCTCTGTCTGCCTGGCAGGCTGGCTGGCCTGGAATGCCACGCGAGCGACCGCGACCCTGACGCTGCGGCGCGACCGTCTGCCTGCCATCAAAGCGCTCCGCATGGTTGCTGCCGCTCCGCGCACCCTGGGGCCTCCCCGTGCCGCGCCCGCCGCCTGCCCGACCCTGGATCCCCTTGCTGCAAACTACACACCAGCAACTGAGCCTGGACGTGCCCTCCCTCCTCCTGCGCCACGCCCTTCACCCAATCCCCACATTCCCTTCGCCCCCCCCGCCCCAGGTTCATGCCGCTGTTGCTGGAGTTGATGGAATCCCCGCACTCAGCACTGCGCGCCGCGGCCACTGACTGCGTAATAGAGGTCGTGTCGAAGCGCATGGAGCCGGCCGCCAAGGTGCAGCTTGTGGCGTCCCTCAAAATCGTCCCGGCCTGCGCCAGCTGGAGCCGCACGCTCGCGGCCGCGGTGGCCGCCGCAGCGTCGGCCGACGGCGGCGGTGGGGCAGGGGGAGGCGGCGGGGGCGAGGGCGCGGCAGCGGCGGCGATGCTGGAGGACGAGGAGCTGATTAGTAAGGTGGCGAAGCTGCTGGCCACGATGGCCGGGGAGGTTATGGACGCACTCAAGCGGGTCGAAAACAGTGAGTGGCGCCTGGGTGGGGTAGCGAGGTCGGGCAACGCGCGGCCTTCGGATGCCGATTTCGGATCAGTGCGGCAGCCGCGTTGAGCCTCGTTGGGCGCAGCTGGGCACGCCTGTATCGCAGCCGTGCGCAGGGGCCTGCGTCGCGCCCGGCGTCTGCCGATGTCCATATCGCCGCCGGGCCCGGTCGCTGGCTCTCACACCCGCCGCCCTCGCACGCGCCGCCGCCCACCAGGCGTGATCAGCATGCAGGCGGTGGGCTTTGAGGTGGACGACGAAGCCGGCAGCGAGGCCACCGCCGTCGTCGACGCCGCGTCGCGCCTGCTGGAGCAGCTGACGCCGGCGGTGCTGCAGGCGTTTGCGTGCGGGCTGGAGGCCGTGGCGATGCCGCTGGTGCCGTTCATCAACGCCTATGTGGCGCGGCTAAAGATGCTCGCGCGACGGTGGGTGTTGGCTGTGGGCTTTGGATCCTTCAGGGGCGCTGCCCCGCCATGCGCGCTGCCGTGCATCGATGGCTCCAATCCGTGCAGCTGTTGGCAGCGGACGCCCGAGGCGCGTCCGACGCATGCCTGAGTGCGCCTCTGTGCCGCCGCCGCCCCGTTCCCCTCTTTGCGCAGCAACCAGCTCATGCCGCCCGACGCGGCGCTGCACCTGCGGTCTATATTGGAGGGAGTCGCCGCAGCGGCGCGCTACCCCGCCGACAGCGCCAACGAGGGCCAGGGCGCGGACGGCGTGCCGGCCGGCGAGGCTGAGGCGCTCGCGGCGCGGGAGGAGCAGTTTGAGCTCGAGGAGCGGCGGCGGGAGCTGTTTGTGGTGCTGCGCAACGTGGCGAAGCTGTCGCTCGGGGACGCGCTCGCGTTCGTGGGGCGGCAGCTGCAGGTCGTCGCGCAGCACGCGGCGGCGGCGGACGGCAGCGGCGGCGCGAACGGCGCGGGCGGAGCGGCCGGCGGCGGCGGCGGCGGAGGGGCAGCGGAGGGGCGGG